CAGAAATTCCTACTCGGCGGGAGGGGTAGGGGGCGGCCCGAGGGGGCGGGAGAGGGTCCGGCCCACGCTGCGCCTGGGCTGGGACTGGTCCCGCCGGCGCAGGGTAGCAGGAAGCTCTCCTATATTTCTTTCTTATTCCCATTTTGCAAGCATGTATCTTGTAATGTGAATAACTGGTTGGAAGACAACACTATGCATTACAACAAATACTGTGAAATTCATGTTACTTTGTTAAGTGAAATTCTGTATCACTTGTTATTTTTCTGTTTTAATACTATTTTATACTCTCTTTATAAAATTAAAAAAGAAAAGATCCACTTGATGGTTTTGCAGGCAGTCATTTTGATATTTTAATGTATATTCTCATGTTTTAATGTGTTATATAACATTTTTAAGAAACACAAAGAGCAGATGTGAGTCCCAGAGTGGTTTGTTGGTATGCAGTTGCTCTAGCACTTAATTTTAGAGAGCTCAAAACATGTTAAACCTGGTAGCATAACAGGCTGCATTTCTCTCCACCCAATTTTAGTTATTTATAAGTCAGTTATAGAAAGAAAGTAAGTATTTTTATATTTTTTGTATCGGGGATCGAACTCAGGACCTTGTGCTTGCCAGGCAGGCATTTAAGCCACTGAGCTATCTCCCTGACCCCTATTTTTATACTTTTGAGAACTCTGGCTATTCACCCACAGAGACAAGAAATGGTTTTAACTTAGGTGTTAATTTTTCCTTTCTGTTCAAACTGAATACTACCTGGTTATGTTTAACTGTCTTCCTGCAATACCAGCAAGGTCACTAAATGTTCTAGAAATAAAAGAAGTAAAGTAGTACATTTCTTAAGCTTAGATACCTCCTTTTTAGAGATGAAAAAATTGTTTTAACATACTTTGGTTATTGAACAGTAGAATAATAAACACAGAATATAAGTATTTTTTATATTTTTCTCTACTTAGTTTTGTATTCTGTAAAATGAAGATGACAGGCCTCTTATTCAAAAAAATAAATGATATTGTTGATTTTTAGTGTTCAAAATGCATGTTAATTTTCTTTGGGTATTGGATGTTGAAAGGAAGACATTTAAACAGTATATTAGCATTTACCATGTACTGTACTAGAATTTGCATACATTCAACATGGCACATTTCTAGCTATTCTTGGTTTTTTTTTTTTAAATTCCATTTGAGGTTTTCATCCTCATACTTTGTTCCTAATCTTAACCTAGTATAAATATCTTCCTGCTTTTTCACAAATGGGTTGGGTGTATTTGGATCATGCCTAACAACATTAAGGTTTTTTGTTCTAGATGGTTCTATGGGCGTATCCCTCTAATTCCTTTGCCAGTTCTTCCTGAAGTGCAAATGCGTATCAGTTTGAGTGTGAAGTAATACTTTGGGTGAATCTTTATATACCATGCTAACTTTCTCTTCTGTTATTTCAGTTCCTTATGAAGGTAGACAGCCCCTTGTTCAGCCAGAGGGACCTTCATCTGGGGGTCCAGGAACCAAACCCCTTCGACATCAGGCTTCCCTCATCCGGGTAAGTGATAACTTGGGCTGTGCCAGTGTGAGAGAGTGGAGATAAGTTTGGACTTTGAGGACATGGCTTTTTTTTCATTGCAGGAAAGATGTAAAACTACCTCTTCATATAAATAACTGATTTCTTGTTCTGTTGCTTGTGTAGTTTCCTAAATTGTTTTTACCATGTTTGCTTCTGCCTCCTTTCAAAGTCTCTCAAGAATAAGCCATGCTGGTTTTTGATCTTTAGTATGTATCAAGTATATTTCCACCTTCATCTGCCTAATCATTAGGCACCTCCTTCATGAAGGCTTCACTTTCTCTAAAGCAGTGTGTGCCTTATTCATCATTATTTATTCAGTGTGTAATAATTGTTTTCAATTTGCTTTGTGCCTTCAGCAGCATGATAAGGTTTTAAAAAGCAGCAGTTATTACATATTCTTTTAGTGACTAGAACAATGTCTTTTGGGTAACAGTTATTTTGCAAATGGTAGCGTGCACTGTTTCTTGTAAGTAATAGGCACAAAAATATTATGGCAAAAGCACAGGTAATATCTATCCCACCCACACTATAGCTCAGAAAGACTCACTTTCCTTTCGTTCCATGTTTTGCTTTGGATAAAGAGCTTTTTTTCCCCCCTACATCTGCAGCTATTGTCTTGTATAATATCTCTGAGTCTTGTGCTGGGAAACTTATATTCTCAAAGAACACTGTGTATGTATGTGCAGGGAAAATTACCCAAAATTAGGTTTATTGTTTAACACCAAAGAGGAAGTGGGGAGGTTTGTATAACATTTCAATTGTATAACTCAGGAAGAATGATCATTTATCCACAGGCAGTTCTACCCAAAATAGAAGAGTAGTGTCAGGCACTCCCATAAAGAAGTAGGCTGTTAGTTTGGAACAGAATAAACAAAGTGTCTGAGAAAGATCCTGGAGCTCACGGAATACCTTCTGGCGATGGGATACCATATTAGATATGGTGAAGAAGTTAATCTCCTGAGTTTATTCTTGGTGTACAAAGAGCTTTTAAAAAGATAATGATTCAGGGCCAGGGAGATGGCTCAGTATAATAAGCACTTCCCTAGCAAGTGCAAGGGCCTGAGTTCAATCCCTGGTTCTACAAGAAAAAAAAAAAGAAAAAGAAAGATAATGATTCAGAGGGCCAGCTAAGTAGCTCAGTGGATTAAAATGCCCATTTAGGGAGTGTGTGGGTGAGCTTCCCTCTACCCTGTGCCAGCAGGACCTACTGGTCCCAGCCCAGGTGTAGCGTGGGTGAGACCCTCTTCCACTTCTTGGGACGCCCCCCACCACTCCACAGCACCTTCTCCACCCCACCCGCCCAGTAGGAATTTCTGCCGCGTTCCGGGAACCCCCAGACCCAGTCCTAGCCCAGGCCCAGAGAGTGTGTGGGAGAGCTTCTGGCGACTCTGCGCCTGCGGGACCTATGGGTCCCAGCCCAGGCTCAGCATGGGTGACACCCTCTATCACCCTCTTGGGATGCCCCCCATCTCTCCGTAGTACCCCCCCACACCCCACCCACAGAGCAGGAATTTCTATCGCTTTACGGGAACCCCCAGATCCAGTCCTAGTCCAGGCTCAGTGAGTGTGTGGGAGAGCTGCTTCTCCCCCCTACTCCAACTTGTACCCTCCAGACTCAGCTTAGGCCTGGCATATAGGTCTGGGGTGAAACCCTGCAGCTTCAATCCCTGCAGAGAGTGTAGGGGACAGAACCTCCCAGCTAGTCCAGGAGGAGAATATCTTGCCAGTGGGGCACGACAGGTTCACCTTCAAGGACAGCAACAGGAAGGAGCTGAGCATAGCAGCCAGAACCAAGCCAGGCACAGCTGGATAAACCCCAAACTTTGTAGATCTACACCTGAACTTCAGTAGGTGCTAAGGTTATAACTGCAACAAAGATCTACAACAAAGTTCAGAAGACAGTGCTACACAAAATGACAACGAGAAGGAACAAAATGCAATCTCAGTCCCTAAGCCTACCCATAACAAGTGCAGATGACACTAACACAGAACAAATTGGGAATCACACAGCTGAAAGCAATGAATCAATGGCTTCTGAAATAAACAAACAGCTGCACAAAAGTATAGAGGAACTCAGATTGGAAATGAAAAAAGAAATCCCTGAATTAATAACATCTGCAGTAAAGAATCAAATGCAGAAACATAAGGAGGAAACCCAATATTCACCCAGAACAAGTGCAGAGGACAGTAGGCAAGCTCAAATGTATGAATTAATAGCGTCGATAGTAAATAAGCAACAGCAGAAAGTCATAGAGGAACTCAGAGCAGACTTCTTTTCTACTAGCTGAGCTCAAATGTACGAATTAATAGCATCGATAGTAAATAAGCAATAGCAGAACGTTATAGAGGAACTCAGAGCGGAAGTATTTTCTGAAATAAAAAAAGAATTCTCAGAACTCATAGCATCTGAGGTAAAGAATCAACTACAGAAACATAGGGAGGAAACCCAATCTGAAAAAAACACTGCATAAAAGAATTTATAATTGCTTCTAAAGAAGACATAGATAAAAAAAATAGAGGAGATTAGAAGTGTTTTTTTTTTTGCGCCGAATGCCTTCAAGGCATGACTGGCTGTCTTGTGTTGTGGGGATCGAACCACAGCAACCTGAGCGTGACTGCTTTGTTGAAGCAGCCACTTAAAGAACTGAGCTAAGGGGCAGGCCCCCAGGAGATTAGAAAAATGACGGATTCCTTGAATGAGCAATACAGGAAAGAAATAGACTGCATGAGGTAGAGTTAAATAGATAGAGAGGAAATTAAAATCTGAATCACAAGCTTGCAAAACCGTTTAAGTGAAAGTGAAGACAGAATTTCAGATCTTGAAGACGCTGGTGCAGCTAGTGAAAAGGTAAGAAAGGATCTCTTAAAAACAACTAGGATACAGGAAAAAATAATCCATAACCTGCAAGATGATGCAAAGATGAACAATGTGAGACTAATAGGCATCAATGAAAAAGAAGGAGTCAATACAAATGACATTAAAAAAATATGGGCAGAAGTAATACCAGAAAACTTCCCAAATATGAGGAAACAATTGGACCTTCAGGTAACCAAAGCATACAGAACGCCAAGTAACCTCAACCCAATGAAAAACACACCGAGACATATAATAGTCAAGATCCTAGAAATTCAGCACAAGAATAATATATTGAAAGCCATTAGAGAAAAGAAGCAGATCACATTCAAAGGAAAACCCATCAGAATTATGGCCGAGTTCTCCTGACAAACTATGAAGGCAAGAGCATGGAGCAGAGTACTTCAAGTCCTCTATGAAAACAAATTCCAGCCCAGACTACTATATCCTGCAAAACTCTCTTTCAAGATTGATGGAGAAGTGAAATACTTTCATGACAAAGAACAGCTAAAGAATTTCATGATGACGAAGCCAACCCTACACAGGCTA